ATATATTTAATATATTACTATATATCTAATTATGCTATATTATATACACTCTATGTTATATCATATATACTCCATGTGATTTTTATAATAAGCACATAGTAACTAATCAAACAGCTGCACTGGAGGCAAAACTATTTGAAGTGGAGCCCACTATTTGAATCAGTGGGAAAAGGCACATGGGTTTGAGATAAAGCTCTATGTTACATGTAATAATACAGCAGGGCGTATCACATGCATTATATTGATCTTAATCTTCCCTTGCTCAAGGTCCTCTGGCGGTACAAAGGCAAAAAACCAGAAACTCTGGGCTCCAACACCAGGATTTATGACTGGATACCTCAAAATGACCTGCTCGGTGAGATTGATACTATCTGGGATGCATTATGCCCCTGAAAAAAACTGCTTCCTTCTTTGTTTTTCTACTAAACTGGCTTATTTGGGCAAAGGAACCACAAAACGCTTGTGGCCACAATTAGTTTGCGGAGTGCTCTTGGAGCCTTAATTTCCTGGCTTGCTTTTGACTTCAAGGTGAGTGGCTGTGTTAGAACCACAGATGACAGAGCCAGGCTGCGAAGGGAGTAGGGAGCAGTGAATCAGGAAGGCAGCACTTCGAGCTTAGCAATAAAGATGGATCTCTAAAGCAAAAACCCATCTTACAGAGCTGGTGGCAATTGTTTGGAAGGGCCAAAACCACTTGTTGGCAGGAGTAAATGTCAAAGTAGACATGTTCTTGAGAGCTGGATCCGGCCTCTGCAGTTGAAATTCTTGAAAATGCTCATTCTTGAAAATGCTTGACCTAAGCCAGGCTGCAGCAGGGGCTGTTGTGCACCCAAGACCGTGCAAAAACTAGAGCTGCACAACAGGGCTGCAGTAACTCCAGGGTACTCTGGAGGAACGCGCTGCTTTATGTATTGCATTCAAATACTGGTGTGCGGAAGCTGAGTGTGCAAGCTCTGCTGCTGATCCAGAGGTCAGGGCTGTTCCCTCCTGCAGTGGTGCCTTTGCCCGGGTAGTCTGCAGCGCTCTTGTCTCCGTCTGCTGCAGCTACAGTCACATCTGCCTCTCCTTCCCTCTTCCAGGCCATCCCTTGGCAAAGGCCTTCATCACTCATGGTGGGACCAACGGGGTCTATGAAGCCATCTACCACGGCATCCCCATGGTTGGGATTCCCATGTTTGCCGACCAGCACGACAACGTTGCTCGCATGAAGGCGAAAGGAGCAGCAGTTGTGCTGGATTTCAGCACGCTGAAGATGCAGGACCTCGTCGACGCAGTGAATACAGTCATTAACAATTCCACGTGAGTTTCGGTCTTGCCTTACAGTGGGATGAGGTTATTAACATCTTAGGATGTTGATGTAAGAAATTCTGCTGGCTCTTCTGGGAACCAAAAGTACCGAATAGTTGAAGATTAGGTTTCAGATGAAAAATATTTTTTATTCCTGAGAATCAGCATCCCTCAAAAAGGAGACATCAGTAATGCCATTTTCCTTATAATTCAGTTTTTCCTGTATTGCATTTTATGATCCCTTTGAATCAAAGAGTTATTGGAAAAACCAGAGCAGCTCCCGAGTGTTCTCTGCCAGTATAAATTCTCCAGAGGCTCTGGGTGACAATTCTAGTTATATTACATCTCAGCCACAATAATTCTCTCTCTTTACCTCTGAGACTACCCTTAGGTTACAGTGCCTATATTATATTGGAACAGAAAATGCCACAAATGCTTCCATGTTGCCTTTTTTTTTTTTGAAGGAGTATCTGGAATAATTTGGAGTAACTTTTCTTTGCAAAAGCTTGACTTTCTCTGTTACTGTTCGTAACCCAACTTTGTGCAGATAGGAGTAAATCTGGCCAGTTTCAAATAGAAATATGTAATATATATAAATGATGAAAGTAAGAGGAGAGCTGGCTGTTTACCTTCCTCAAGAGGACTGCCAGCTGCTGAATCGGTTGTATCAGGAAACTGTGACTAATCTCCTTGGTTTCTTCATTTCTCCCCCAGCTATAAGGAAAATGCTCTGAGGTTATCCAGGATACACCATGACCAGCCAATAAAGCCTCTGGACAGAGCCGTCTTCTGGATTGAATTTGTCATGCGGCACAAAGGAGCCAAGCACTTGAGACCAGCTGCTCACAACCTCACCTGGTACCAGTACCACTGCCTGGATGTCCTGGCATTCCTGCTCACCTGCGCAGCCATCGCTGTCTTCATTCTTGTCAAGTGCTGTGCGTTCTGCTGTAGGAGATGCGGCAGGATCGCGAAGAGGAAGACAGACTAGACATCATGTTCCCAACGGTGTTTCTTCTCCTCCTAGGCTGATTGAGCAAGGCAAATTCCTTGGTGAATTAAATGACTAGGATATGTTTTAACCTGGGCATATCATGAAGCACCCCACTGAACTATGCTGAAAAGCTGTTGTGGGGCAGAGCTGCCTGCTAACCTGCAAATTCCTTATGGTCTAAGACTGAATTATAGTTGCTTTCTCCCAGCTCTGTTCAGCTGATCACACAGGGTTCCTAGTATGCTAATTGCTGCTCTAGCTTTGCAGATTTATTTTGGTATACTTCATAAATTCAGCTTTCCTATGTGTTGCACTGAAGGTCCCTTAATCTGCAACTGGTCTTCCTACCTTAAATCCTTCCTCTTCTATAATGCAACCCAGACCTGGTGATTCGCAACCAAGCTGGCTGCTGATGCTTGTATTGTCACATTTTTACAAATGCAGTGACTACCTGGGGGCTGAGGTGAGACCAAAGTACCAAAACTGGCAGAAAAATTGCTTTTCTGAGAACAACTTCTCTTTCCCATTTAGTATATGCTTGGAGTCCTGCTGCACAGGCTGTCATTCTAACTGCAACACTACAGGGGTGTGTATCACATCTCAAAAAACTGTCTGTCAGTACCTTGCTCGTCTTAACCTCCAAATGCCTCTGAGCCATGATAAATGCAGGAAAACCTCTAGAGGGAACCTGCGAAGACGGAACAACACATCTGGGAACAGTGCAATAGTCCCCTGCCTTGCCTGAAATGCTGGAGGGGAAATAATGCTGCTCTTGACTCAGAAGAGTGGTAGGAAAGGCAGCACTCCTGATGTCGTTCAAGGTGCACTTACTGATGAAAGCCTCCTTCAATGAGGCTGGTTTAGCCCTCCTGTTCCAGGTAAGGTTGTTCTACTGCTGTGCCAGCTCACTCAGGAAAGAACCTGCTCCGATTTTAACTGCTGTTTGCTGTATTCAGGATGCTGAAGAATTGTTCTCAAACAGAACAGGCTCAGAAGACATCTTGTATTTGTTTATATAATAAAATGTACTACATTGTGTTAACTTTGTTATTGGCACTCTCAATAGCTTCGACTTCAGAGCTGCTTAAATCTCTTCATACAAAAGCTTAATGGAATTGCTTTCAAATGGAGGGAACATGACAGCCCCTACTGGTGCTTCTCATGGTAATTTAGTAACCAGTCTGTTCTGGTTCACTGTTTGTATGGTCATGATGGGATGATATGCAGAAATATCCACAGTAAACAGAGCAGCATGACTTTCAGGCCCCAGATCTGAAAGGTTTTGCTGTAGTTGTTTGCAGAGCTGGGTCCCTATGCTCAGCTCTATCACACTTTATCACTAACAGCCCCCATCTCATCCAGCTTTTGCAAGTGAAGATCTGCTGAGGATGTTAGTTCTGTTGCCAGGCCACTAAAGCTCCTAACACATTCAGTAGAGCCTGGTCAGACAGGGCTAACATTGGACATGGAAACAGGGTAGCAGGGAAAAGTTGGGCCAAGAAAGTGCTCAAGTCTCTTTAAGGAGGTGCTTCTTTTCTCTAACATACTTAAGCCAAATTTCTCTAATACTGATTTTTAAAAGTAAAAGAGAAAAACGACCAACTTCCTCTCTCCTTTCCAGCATCTGTATATAAAGCAGAGAAAGACATTGAAGAATGAAGTCCACGATGCTTTCCTCCACTTAGACACAGGATGTGTACTCTGATAGACCTATCTAATCCTACTGCCAATAGACATAACTCTCAGCACGCTGTTTTGAGGAACTCAAAGACATTGAACTTCTTGCACTGTTTAAAGTGGATGTCAACCCTTTTGCTTAGGGCATAACTATAGTGGTATAGACTAAAACATTCAGAGCCCAAATTACTGTCAGATCTTAACATGTTTCCGCAACTACCACGGCCAATCCCATATTGCAGTTTATAAAAAACAGCTACAGCACTCAGCACGATGGAACTGAGGCCTTTAAATCACGTGCTACAAAACCTGCCTTTATTACATGACAAGATACTGAAGAAAGGTTATGAAGAAATCCATCGAGGTTGGGCTACTCATACAAGTTTTGCAAACGAGGAAATTGCTTGAGAAAATAAAAGAACTTCCACTGCAAGCTTTACTTTACCTTTTTCTCAGTTTTACCATTAGCATTTAGATTCAAGTATTTCCTAGTTAAGAGAAATAACAAGTGATGCAGCAATCGCTACAGAGAAGAGATGGGGAGAGTCTGGACCTTGCAGGACTAACACGTTCCTGGGAGGCAGGTACGATTATAGCTTAGGACAGCCTAGCAATAACACGATAATTTGATTTAAGTTGAACATGTAGAACCTTAATAGCCCAGGTTACCTGCAGGAGCTGTAAGTCAGCTACTTCACTGTGGAAACAGAAACGCAATTACCTTTTATTTCAGCCATCCTTTTCCTAAATTCAGGCTTCAGGTAATTTCACCCACCACAAGACCCTTTAAACCACTTTCGAAGACGGATACTTCCCCCTAGAGGTGCCAGAATCTATCAATCAAAGCTGGCAAGTGCAGAAGACCAAGAAGCCCGAGTTTTAATCATTTCAATAGTTAACAATTTATTTTTTATATAAAAAAAAAAGGTAGCAATGTAGAATACAGCAATATTCTCTGGTTCCACACACGCAGGTTGTGAACATTCCAAGCAACGTGTACATTTTGGAAGGAGACTAGACAAGAGAATTGACCAAAATGTTACTGAACACGGGAAGATTTTTAAAAAAGGTTAAAAATTAGGTATCAATAGTGTCTTCTTAATATTGCTTTCCTTACTGAAGACTGAAAAAACACTTGACTTTACAGATAGGGTTAAAAACCAGGGGGAGGGGAGGAAAAAAAACCAAAAACCCAAAAAACGGCTGCTACAACACTGCCATACAGTCAAAAAAAAATCATACTTCAATATTTGCATACTTGATAGCAGCATTCTCCCACTGAACCATGTGAAACTACAGGAAGAAAACATCAAAGCAAATAAAAAAAAATCAAAACAAAACAAAACAAAAGGCAGTCATCCATCAGTATTCAGAAACTGAGACCGAAGTCACTAAGTAGATGAACGCTTACTGAGAATTAATCAGTATCTACATTCTCAGCTGTTTCCCATTCTGCTGCAATAGAAACGCCAAGTTGAGTGTCAGCTTTGCATATTTTATTTTTGGCCAATTTGCGGTTTTTCCAGTTCATAGTTCACTGCATGCTTGGAATAGGGGGTTCATTATAAATCCTTCTACACAATGAACTTTAAGTAGACGGCTGAAAATAAAATGTACTACTTGTAAACACACAAAAAAATACAAGCTTTTTATTTCAAGTGAGCACTGGGTCCAGATAGATTATCTTCGGTATCTACCTCTTTCACCTCTGTCTCTGTCCCGGTCACAAATCCTCTCTCTCTCCCTTTCCCGATCACGGCCTCTGTCACGTTCTCTGTCTCTTCTGTTATCTCTAGGCCGGTCCCGTTCCCGCTCTCGGTCCCTCTCTCGAGGTCTGCTTCTCCGACCGCTCACAACTGCTTGCGTGCGTCGAAGAAAGTCGTCTACTCTCATGTCGTAGTCGTGCTGTGATGAAAGGGACAGCTCCATTTATTTTCTTTCCCAGATTAAAATATCCTCCCTTCCCTTACCACTGGGCTGGACCCAACTCTTGGGAAAGTATTTAAAACCAAAATAATTTAAAAATTATGTCCAGCATCCATATGCCCAAGTTTCTTCTTTCATCTTCAGGGTAGCACATCCGTGCTGCCACTGTGCAGAAGCTGGGGTTCAAATGCCAGATACCAGCAAGACACCTGAAAACTAAGCAGCCTTCAAAGCCAGCTAACAGAAACTATTTAACAATCTGCCCTGTTTTCTGATGTGCCTGTAAAAAGTTAAAAACCACCAGCTTTTCTGCTGATAACGTAATCTGCTGTGCACGAGTGCAAGCACTGTTACAGCCATGTCCTTACTCAAAGTGGGCTTCAGAAGGAAACGTTCACATGGAGAAAGGCTGAAAGCCATGTGAAGCAAACACCGAGTATATTCTGGGAATTTTTAACTTCTACATCACCTGGGAGAGAGAGCAGCTTTTCAAAGACGCTGGAAGTCTCTAGTTAATCTAAATAACCAATCTTCCCAAGGAGCACTAAACTGCACTTTTAAGGCCTGTATTTTCAAAGTCAACAAGTATCAGATCAGGCTCCATCTGCACCCCAAACTCCTCCCATCCCTGCTCTGCCCTGCGTGGACACTTACTACTCGTTTGTCTCTGTATCTTGCTTCATGTGGTATAGGGTGATGTCCTGAGTACGGAGGGTGAGCTTGAGGTGGAGGCGCGTGGTGCTGATAGTAAGGGTGGTGCGGTGGCTGCTCCATACCTGGATACGGTGGCTACGAGAAAGTTACAGGAAGGTTGTTGAGCGTTCCAAACCAAAGGAATGCACACCAGGCTGCGTGCTGGGAAGTCACAGCAGAGGTTACTTTCATTCAGCCAGAAAACATGACATCCAAATATATCCCATCACAGCCTCCTAACTCAACGGCAGAGGATTTGCCATGACGCGGGCATGCTTTACTACTTCTCTACCATTCCTTCAGTAGAAATTTGGCCAACCTCTGTAAATCCCAAACGTGGTTTCTTTCCAAATCTGCCTCAAAGCCATACTGTAAATAAACTCCTGCTACTTAAAACAAACAAACAAAACCCAACCCAAACCAAACACTTTTAAGATCTATGCATATGGATTGTTAATTCTGTCAAACCAACGAGCTCTTACAGAAACAAGACTTTTCAGTGCCAATTCTTAGGAATACAGTGGGCACGGTGTTGTTGGGTTGACAGTTGGACTTGATGGTCTTAAGAGGGCTTTTCCAACCTTAATGATTCTGTGATGATCTTAAACGTACAGACTTGCTTGGCAAGGCAAATTATCTGACAAAAGGTTAGCAGATAATTGTTCTCTTATTTAAAGCAAGACATCTCTTGGCTCCTCTATCTTTTCAATCAGCAAGGCCTGCCTTTCCCGTATTACTGTGGCATCTCTGCCTGCGTTCTTCAAAAATGAGTAGGTGGAAGTGCTGGATTTTAGAATGACTACTTGGACAGCACGCAGAAGAGGCAAGAGGAGAAAATACAGCAGTATCTGGAGGCCTGGCTGTGTTTGAAAAACCATTTTCCTCCCAGTCTGACTCCTTTGTTCACTTCCTTCAGCTATGACAAACCAGAGCTGTGTTTCAGCTGAGGAAATGAGAGGCTATAGTAGCATCTCTACCTCTGACGATTCATTTTCCTCATTCACAGTATATACAAGAGCCAAAAGATAAATTACAGTTACCTGAAGCCATCCAGAATTACTAAATATAACCAAAATGACTAGTCATAATGACCATTCCTCCTGAGAAATGGATGGCAAAATCACAGCCGAATATAAGCACAAGTGAACTATCAGTTAATTTCCACGTACGCAGCGATATACACGTGTACTCCTACATGTACACTATATATGTACTCATCTAACTGGGAAAAAAGTGTGTTTCAGTACAGGCTGTGATACAGCAAGGCTTCTTTTGATCCCACTGTGCAGTACATTCTGCTCCTTTCCTGCATGCTTCACTGCCATAGCCAAAAGCAAGCCACTGCGTTAACACCAGAGCACGCCAGCCCGCTCCATGAGCCTCTGCAGCAAGTCCACCTCCTTGATGCATTTGCTGTTTGAAAGAAAGCCAATTGCTATGAATATTTAGCAGAACACAAAATTTCATTGCACCCTCTTGTGTGGGCTAAAGGAGGGTTCTGCTATTTCCTCAGAGCTTTTAAATTCTTATAGGTTGAAACCAAGCCAGATTCCTGGTTACTAGAATGCTGGACTATTGCTGAGAGCTAAGCAAATCACAAAATACTTGATATAAATAATTTTTCCCCTAAAATTTTAGTTACAGCAAAGATACATTTTAGGAAAAGGGAAGAGCTGAGCACAGATGAGATATTCTAGGCTCCTCCAGAAGGGAACAACAACAAGAAGAAGTAGTCCTATTTTATAGAGAGAAATGGAATTCAACAAGACACAAACCATTCCTTGCCATGGTGGTGGTGGTCCCATGTTGTGGAATTCCCTCACGTAATCATTGTAGGACTAAAACGGAAGACAGTAACATTAATACTTGTGATGTGTGTTCTTTGGAAGCGCAAAAAAAGCTGAATATAAAAACTCCCCCAAAGTCTGCATGCACCAACTCACCCCATTTAAAAAGACATCTCGTCGAACTCCTGAAAATCGTCTGTTGGGAATAAAAATTTGTAGAACTAAATCCAATTTATCCATATAGACAAGTCACCAGGGGATAAAATGGACAGCATGAACACACCTTACCTGTCTACTTCGGGATATCTGGGATCCTTTATATACCCTGTTCGAACATCAAGCAGTATTAATTCAGTTTACCATCTCATGAGAACAGTCTTAAAAAATACACTCATTAGAAACTGTCCTTTCATTTTGTGCCAGCTACAAAGCCGTATCTACCCAGCATTACCCCTGGTTTCAACTCTCAAAAGGTTACAGCTTCTTGTAGGTAGCAGAGAAAAAGAAAATAAATAAGTGTAATGCAGTAGCAAAAAAAAAAAATCATACAGATTAACCCACAGGAACTTGCACACAGCACCAACAGATATGCAAGGAAATATCTGTGCAAATAAAAACTTGAATTTTAGTCAAACAAGTCAGGAACAGCCACAATCTTGAAGGGTACCATCCCCTGACGGTCAGCACACGGCTGTTACTACTCATGAACTGCGTATCCAGTAGAATGCGTTCATCTGGGCAGCTCTTAAGGCCAATTTCCCAATAGGTTTTGGATAGGTTACACAGAAAATGAGAAGCAACCTAAAAAACATCTGGGAAAGCCCCACAGGGCAAAGAGTTGTTAACAGCTTGGGTACATTCCAGGGAGTAAACTTTTAAGAGCTCAGTAAAATGGTGCAAAACACTAGGCATGGTTATGCTGCTAATAAAATAATGCTTTCGAGCTTCATAATTTTAAAAAACTTTGTTCTGTACTCTACACAATGGCCTCTGAAAGGCAGGGAGCAGCAACAACACTTCCATTTGCATCAAAGAACACAAGATTTGCAGTCAAACTGATGAAATTAAGACAAAGACTTAGAAATCTACTACTGAAATAATGGAAAATGTGTTTCTAATAGCACTGAAGCCTGATTCGGTAGATTAGAGGCGACAATTTCTTAATAACTGCTTTCTGAAGAAGAAACAAATGGCAATATTATCAGTGTTGTTGCTGCATTACCGCTGCAACCATTTATTTCCGGAGAACAACAAAATCCCTGTCTCAAACCCAGCATTAGACCCTCTCGTAAAATGCAGTGAAACTTCCCCCTCCCTTCCTCATCTCAAGTTCATTTAAAAAAACCAACGATCTGCAAACATAATCGAATGTCATCTCTAGACACAGGCTGCTAGTCAGGCAATCTCAGCTGAGTTGCCCAGCTGGAAATTTCTAGTAAACATTTTAATTTGACAATTAATTCTTGTGCCCCCAGGCATTTCAACCACCCGTGTTAACAAAGCGCTTGAGAGGATCACTCACAAAAACGTACACAATTCTGAAGCTCTTAACAGGGCTCAGCCCAGATTAACTCAGCGCTCTCTCTCAAACCCACAGGCAGCACTTAGGACAAGTCCCATTTTTAGATCCCAGCCATAACGATAATTTGCTCTTTCAATTTATGAGGATACACTAGAAAACACTTGTGAACTGGTGCAGAGAAATCTTCATAGTAAGATATTAACCTGGTCTTTGGTGAAACTCAGGGGGATAGTCAATCCTTGGTTTCTTTCTGCTGTTATGAATATCATAATCTTCTGGTCGACGCCTACACAAATTAGATATCAGAGATTAAACAAGGTTGCTTGGAGCATTCGTCACAGCAGAATACCTCACAGGAACAGCTTGAGCTGCCCAGGGTCTCCATTTACTCATTCTGAATTCCAGCTGCTTTTAAGTGTTCTACAGCTCTGAATACGAACTCAAATAATCAGGAACATTAAATACCCTCCACTGTTACTTTCTGGCTACAGGAGCTTTGGGAGCTAAGGAAGAAACTCTACCCAGCCAAACAAAAAGGTAACAAATTTGTCTAAAACAGGCTTAGGCTTTAACATTACACTTTCCACGTTACATTTTGAAACGATCTACTGGATGACAAAAGGATTTACAGAACTAAATACAGTGAAAATAGATGGCAAAATGCATCATTACAGTCAGGAGGCATGGACGTTGCTGCATTTGCTAACTATGGGGTAAAGAATTCTTTAAAAGGCCTACTTCCATACCGTTTATAAATAAAACTGTTCTCTGTGAAATTGCTTTTCACTGCAGCTTGTCTAACTGGGCAGGCCAATTATATTATTTCTAACAACTTCTGCTCTAAGCAATTTACCAGCAATGCACTGGTGCCTTTTACAGAAAGTTTAAGAACGCTTAAGCGTCCTAATAATTTAAATAATTGGGGTTCCTTTCTACACAAACAGCTCTTTTATGGAATAAATGGTATCTTTTAAGAACTTCACTCCCAGGGAGGAAGTCTGCTTATAAAGCAGTGACATTTGCTGTTACGGTTCAATAAAGAGCTGGCTGCTAATCTCACTCCATCGAGGTACACAAACAGTAACGGGAGACTCCAATGCTAACATCACAGTGTTTCTAAACACAAAGCAGCTACAAATCCATTTCCCAACACCCTCCCACTCACCCTCCCTCCCAGCAATATAATTCCTCATGACAAAGACAAGAAATTAACACTTTCTTAAATTGCTTAATTACTGTGCAACTTGCTCACTGAGTAACAAGCCCACGTAGCTTTTAGTTTTATAAAGAGTAATTTCTCCTCCCCCTTCCCGACTTCAGTCTTTAAAGCCCACCAAACCCAGTTACTAAGCTTTTTAAACCGAAAGCAGATTCTTTACTATGAGCAAAAAGCCCAAAAACCAAAGCAGTTGCATCTACAGCAAAATCAGACCAAGGAAAAGAAAAGCTGGTGTAAAGAATAAACATACCGCTTTCTTGTAGTTTTGAGAGTGCATTTACGACCGGTATAAAATATGATAGAAACAGTTCATATAGTAGTCCAACTACTGACTTTAAGCTGCAAGCCACACACATAAATGGAGGCCCTGGCAGGCTTGAGAAGGTGTGGTGGTGTTATATGTATAGTTTGCAGTCCATTGCAAAACCTTCACTCGTATATACTTTATTGCACTGGAAACCTCTCAGCTTAACTCCAAAAGCCATCTCGGTGTTCAGTCCTTTAAAGCCAAAAATAAGGGGGCGCTGCCAGGTTTCCTCCTACCTACTCGTGACAGTGTCCTTTTTTTAAGCTCAAGGAAATGGGGACTCTTGTTGGGTATCTGTACCTACCACAGGACGTTTCCACAAAGAGGAAACTGAACCAAAGGTTTCAGCCCAAACCATACATCAGTCTGTATGCAAAGTGGCTACACGGGGAAAAGGTGTTTGGCAGAAGGGCTAAAATCAGTTCTTTGCAAAGAATTCTCCAATTCTGTAACAAGTTATACCCCCTTTTTTTCCTCTCTGGAAAATGATGTTAAGTTCATAAAGCAGTGATCAATAACCATGTCGATCCTCTAAAAATACTTTAAGTCCACGGGTACTGCCAGCATCTGGAAAGGTCGTATAAACAGACACAGCAACAGCCATTCTTTTTGGTTTGTTGCCGGGTCTCCAAGGGCCACTCGATCCCTTTTGGAAAGAACCTACTGTTTTCAGAAGCTCAGCAAGATGCGAGAATTCAGTGGTTACAGGTTAGAGAATATTTGGCAATGGGGTTAACTCATCACGGTGACACAATTTGAAACAGTCCCAATAATGCTCCTCTTGAATAGCAAAATAACTTAAATATTTTATCCTCAAAATGAGGCGGCATCTTCTGCAAAATTCTAAGTGATCCTTATAAAAGTCCCATATTTGATAAGGCTTATCCAGAGACACACCTGAAAGAAAAGGCTTTTACAAGATATTAACACATTTTTGGCATATAAATATTTCCTCCTCTCCATCTAGCCTGCTCAGAATCAAGCCAAGCTTACCTACAGCTAGCATTACACGTTGCATTCTCTCAATCAATGATCTAGTCTAAGCTAGGCAGCACTTTAAGAGCTTTCTTTTTTTTCTGCAAAAGCAAAGATCCCCATTTTCCTCTTGAAAAATGACAGACCGGGGAACCATGTGAAATCCTCAATGAAGCCACAAACTTGTCCATGCAGCTTGATTTGAGGATTTTCTCTCTTCTTTATCGCAGGGAAAGCTTTGTCGAATCATATTCCTCCATCACGTTATTCTGACACATGTGCCTATTATCAGTCCAAAGAACGTTTCTAACCTTCCCACGTCCCGAACGGGGTCTCGACGGGATGGGCGTCCTCTTGATCGGGGTTGTGAGTGCATTCTTCTCTTGTGCCTCATTTTATGAATGACTTGATACAAGTCAATACTTTCATCAGGAGGGAAGAGAAGACAAAGTTGGGTTCCACATTCCGGCTCAATTTCCTAGAATCAGTTAGAAGTTCAGTAGTGGTTTATAAAGCGAAGAAACGAAACTCTCCCCAAATACAACGACAACATACATTTAAAATAATAAAAGGACACTGTGAAGAGATTGCAGTATCACTAGAGACAGAGCAAAATTCACTTACATTACCTTTCACTCTTTAGGGACTACTTAGAACTTTCTTAAAACAGTCCAACACCTGGGGTAACCATATCTTCCCATGAGACATACAGGCCACATCACTGTTTTGCTACAAAATCAGAGGACTGTTTTTCATCACAAAGAAAATGATCACCTATTACAGAGAGAAAAAGTGACACACGTAGGAAAAAAATCCATCCCAGCTTCACAAATAAAGCCATGGCCTGAGGAAGTCGACTGCTACCACTCAAAAGTGAGTTCTTCAACGTATGACAGACAGGTCCATGAAAACACTACCTCAATGCCTGACAGCAGACAAAGCGTGTGTTCAGGATTATTAGGAAAGGAACACTGAATGAGAAAATCATTGTATCACGCTGTAAGTCCATGTTCCACCCACACCTTAAATACTGGGTGGAATTCTAACCCCTTCATCTTAAAAAAACAGGAACTCTAAGTCCACGTTCCACCCACACCTTAAATACTGGGTGAAATTCTAACCCCTTCATCTTAAAAAAACAGGACAGCAGAAATGCAAAAGCGTCAAAGCAAGGCACCAAGGATAACTGAGCGAGTGCAACAATTCCTTCGTGCAATGACTGGGCAGGTTGGGTCTCTTCAGACTAGAATAAAATGGGTTAAGACAGATACAACGGGAGTGTCTGACATCACGAGCTGCTCAGAGGAGAGAGGGACAGAAATCAACTTGCTGACTCCCTCTTCTGGTACTACAAGAACTACTCAGGGCCATCAAATGAAGCTAGCAGGAGTCAGGCACAAAACCATCCAAAAAAGTGCTTCTTCAAGCTGGTGACTGGCAGTCCTGAGGAACACCTTCCCAAAGGAGGGCATGAATGCAAGAAGCTCCGTGTACATGTCCACAGAAGAGAGAGCCATTCAGGGTTACACAAAATGTAAATGCATAAACAACCACCACTTTGGGAAATAACCCACGTCGAAAGGCAGGGAGAGCCTTTGCATGGCAGACAATGACTGCCCAGTACCTAGCAGTACAGCAATTTTACGAGAAAAGATCAAACCTCCCATCCAGACTGCAACTCCACTGTGAAGTGGACAAAACATTAAAAAAAAATATTTCCTTGACCGCGTAAAATAACCAAAGTTAAATGATTTTTTTTTCTTTTGAAGTCACACTAAATTAAAAACAAGACATAAAATACTGTTTAACTTCTGTTCATCAACAAAGTGAACGTGTCCATAGGCAAAATAATGCACAGAGCTTACATTCTCCAGACAGTTTGGAGATTATGCAGCCTCCCATCTTGCCCTAAGCAAGCACAACCCTGTATTTTAGCTGAGGCTTGGTTACTTGATGATAGCAGCAACGTACCTGCACTCTGGTATGTCTGAAAAGCCACCCCACTTACAATTAACTTAGCATATACTTTATAATGGTAGAACCTATGCCCTAAGCAATAGAGCAGATAAAAAGAGTGCAATGCTGGAAACACAAAAACTTCTTCTTAAAAGTTGATGCTGTATAGGTTTGGACACTGTACAATGCAAGAGACGTTACATTTCAAACCCAAAACACCACATAATTTTGAAGTATCAAACACTGTTTATCACAAAGATGACAATAAAACTGGCATCGTGTTGTCTTCTGTTTCCTTCTTCCCCAATGTTAGAAATAAGCTGAACGCCTGCGTAACAGTACTCTACCGTGAGTAACTGATCTGAAAAGACTCCAAATCTTCTCTATGTACACAGCTGAAAGCAAGAACTTGAAGATACTGATTACAGAAAAGAAAAATTAACGAACCTGTCCATCGCGTCCGATCTTTACTGGCTTATGTTCGTTCCAAGGATTGGTCAGGTGAGCAGACTTAGTGAACGGCAATTCACGCCTAAATAGGCAAGTGGCATCATTTATAGTTTCGCCCCCATTTGTTGTAAAAAAAATACAATTAAAAATGTATACAGCAGGACATAAGACACAGAACAATCCTGTAACCCTTTGCACGGTCACTTCTCTGGAATTATTATGATGTATTAGTAACAGAATTGAAGATTTCACTTTGACTGATTCCAGTACTAACCAGTGTAGTCCATACTACATAATAAGACAGCTTATCTTATTAACAGTCCACATATATAACAGTCCACATATTATCAGTCCATAATATGACAGCTTATCTTATTAAAGAGATTTTTATCTTTGCCTTTGTACAATATTGAGATCATGCTTGCTTATTATATCACCATCTGAATACGCTCACCAGTCTATGTGTGAGGTGGTAGCTCACAGTACCAACTGAGATAAACTCCTGAGCATCCTACCTATGAAGTGTGACCTTCTTTGAGCTGGAGGCCGAAGTCAGTAACTGCCAGAGGACCTTTCCAACCCAGATTTTTCTCTAATTAGAAGCATCACCTTCCTTGTATTTAGACTTCTGACAGCACAAGTGCCTGTGCAATACATCTCACAGTGAAACAGTTTGTTTTCTTAAGAGAGGTTTAAAACCTTTTCTGTAAGATCTACTCAGTTACATGGATGAACATACCGCTCACATCCTACATATTATGCAATATCTGTACTATTTCATACGTTATTTTACAGCATTTGCTTTGTTCAGTCAGACGCCTAGATATCAGATGAAGACAGAACTGTCCTTACAAGATTGTTTTTCCAGTTCTCCACAGCTGTCTATCCAAGTGAGCAGCAGTTTTCACTCAAAGACTTCAGAATACAGTTTTCTTGTTTCAGTGTCAGAGGACAGCAAAGGAACACAATAAAGTGTTCAATAAAAAAATGTCTTCAAGTATTTAATTGTCTACATTTAAGAAAAAAAGCATTTGTATAGTACACGTCAGGTACAGACCTGAGTCTCAAACTGAGTAGCATAGGGGCATGGATTTGGGGAGGCTGCAGGACTGGTTGAATCGAGTTTTCAAAAGGATGCTGTCAGCACTTATTACCTTGAAATGATGTTATAATGCCTCATCACCAAATGGCAGCATAAACAAACAGTTATTTACCTGCAAATCCAGTCAATTTTAAAGACGCCTCCCAACATTTTTGCATTCATCCCTGCAGGCAGCACCCAGTGTATAGGCGATCCTCCGTGATGGGACTCTGAAGACAGTCTTGCAAATCCTAAAGGAATTCACGTGAATTATAACAAAGACACAACAGAAAGGCCATTGCACGTAAAACTGACTTTCACTTACCTAAATCACAGCTTACTTTCCCTTACCTTGGAATTTGCCACTCTCTCTTACAGAAAATATCAAAATAACGCTCCTCGCTGATCTAAAAGCAGCATTAAGCTTCTTCTCATTCACTGGAAGCGTCGACCATACTCCCTAAAAGAAAAACAATGCCCACCCCACCACCAAAACATAATTTAATCTCAAGTGATTTAGCCACCAGAAGTTTATAGTACAGATGACAAAAACAAGACCAAACTAGTGTTCTGGGATAGAAGATAACGGAAATACTTCTAAATTCAGCTCCTTCAGGAAGTATTTTTTAGCCTGTCCTATCATAAAACTTGTAAAGCACTGGCTTTTCAATTTTTTTTTTTTTAATACTGCAGATGCATTTAGACCCCCTGTAAGGTTTCATTTGTAATTATAACCATGGACAGATAAATGAAAACACTGGCCTTCAGTATTTTTAGTCTATGTTTCAGGTGACTTTCGGAGTTCATGTTCACAATACACAAAAATCACAGAAAAACAAGCATATCTACTGAAAGGTGGGCAGGCAGCCTTCAGTAGCCTCCTTCATATGACAGATTTGTTGAGGGCAGCTTGCAGACTTTAAAATTCTTTCTAGCAAAAGGCCAGAAACACAAAAGACACCTGATCAACATTTCAAATTGGCAAGACAATTCAAAACAGTTTGTTCAGCCTCCCACATACCCACCTGCTAATTCCTACCTTTCCCTTTCACCAGCCATTGTGTAGCTATTCACAATAAAACCCAGTCTGTTTTAGGGTACCCACTGAGCTGAGCTATATAATACCGGTTTGCTGTATGACTCCTCAGCAAGATCAGCTCCCCTGTCCACTTCTCTGGGCAAAGTCAAAGGAGAAACTTATGCTGGTTTATATATGTTCAAATCCAGAATATGATCTAGGAGCTACCAAAGAAAATGTTCCTCCCTTTCCTTTTCTCTTGAAGACACATTCTTGTGTCATACTCTGTGCTCAGGTAAGTGTGTGCCTGACCCCGACAATTTTTAGAGTCACCAGGAACTGTTTGGTTTTTCCCCGTCACTAGTTTTCAGTCAGATGTACACTGCTTTAAGCTCCTTGTGAAGCCCTGCTGTGAACTAGAATTCACTACATTGCCACCACAAAAGCCAGTTTCATGGAAGCACAGTGGCAAAGCACCGATGCCCACACACTGACAAAGCATTTGCTCCACGAACTTTGGTAAGAAGGATTCTGTTGCATCCCCAAGCATGATTAAGGGACAGAAAGGATATGCTACTCTAAAGAAATAAAGCAAACACCAGTCAGAATGGTGTTCCAGGAATTCTAAGATTCGATTGTTTTAACACTATTGTATTTTAGAAAAATCTTTATTGACAGAATCATCTACTCTGTGTATATTGTGTAACAGCGATCTGCCACTTTCTCTACGAGCTCTTCCCAGTAACATATGCAAATGCAAAACCCCAGCAGCCTAGTGCCACTTCTGAGCAGCTGAAGTCCAGTGCACTGAAATCCCTCCTAAAGAACTCCCTTACGCCAGCACACAGGCATACATTGCTGTAGTAAGTCTTCAGATCCCTGAATCAACTGAATGAAATTGCTTTTACAGCACCAGATCAAAGCCAAAACCACCTTCTGAACCTGCTCACAGTACAGCAGTATCAACACAGGTACTGATCAAAGGGAGAAAATGCCATCACAGCATCCCCAGCATAGGCTGGCTTAGGACGTTATCAAATGGACCTCGAGGCCCCTTTTGAACCCCACTCTTTATCAAGGTAAATGACTGATAGTCAAGCAACTTTTCTACGTGACAGTGGAAACAGAGTAGCTACCCTTGAAGGATCAAGGAGCAGTAGCTTTCATCCTTGCCTCTACTAAGATCTGAGCAGTGGAGAAAAGAATCCATATATAAATATGATTTTCTACAGTAAGGGGGATGCGTTTGAATACAAAGCGATCAGTTTGAAGAAAATTCAACATACCTTTGCTTTAGCAAGCGATACATTTTCATGGTTATTACTCTTGATGAGAAAGAATCTTGCATCTTGCAGAATGTATTTCAGTTTACTTGTTTGGTCTGAAAAAAAACAAAGTGTCAAATAAGCCAAACTGTAAATATTTACAGTTGTTAAAAATACTGCTTTGAGTGTAGATAGCTGTTGGTTTACTTCAAAATGTACTGTATCCCACCCAGTTCCTACCTACTTGTTACCACAGTCAACCACCCAACGTGAAACTTGAAGTCTAAGCTGCAGAGCACAAAATGCCAGGGGAAACCAAATCAAAACGAAAACTTAGATATTCAGGTAAAGAAAAAAAATATGAAATAAAATTAGCACGGTTCAGTGATGTTCCGATATACAGGACTTATTGCCTTGCTTATGAATCTTCAGATAAATACTGAGTAACATTCATATCAACACAAATCATCCAACAGGGGATGCTAAAATGTTCCTCTTTTCAGATTTAAACACTTCATTTTTGGCTTTGCCGCCTCCGCAAGGAGCGACTGAACTTTCTGCATCTTGCTCTCAACACATGCAGAGTAGATCAAGATTTACTTGTTATGCTCAGAACAATTATGTGCTTAAATTGATTTATATCGGAACATTACCACTTAGAGGTAATTTAATGAACAGAGACAGTGGCTTGCTATGGGGCATGCATTAAAAATTCAAATTTAAATGATACCTTTTTGGACAGCACGAACGGAAGATGATAATTTCTCATGCTTCTTTTCTGAACCTGTGTTTAGCCAAAGTACATTTGTTCAGATTGAGCCTTAATAGAGATAATATACAATTTCTACAGCCTTGTCACATACAATTTTCATTCATGACAAATTATGCTTTCTGGCGCGCACCCACACACACAAAAAAATACTCTTCAATGCGCACAAGCGTTTTGGTGTTTTGGTTTTGGTTTTGGGTTGTTTGGTTTGGGTTTGGTGGTTTTTTTTTTTTTGTTAAAAGTAGTATTTGAACAATTTCCTCCTCAGAAAACTAGTCACTGAATCATCATCTTCCAAGTTTAAAAAAGAAAAAAAAAAAGTGAAAATTCCACTTAAGCAACAGAAGAGCATTAAAGTAACAAGAAAGCCTACTTCTCCCCCAAAAGGTACCCACACACAACATGCCAGAAGTCCAATGCCAAATTATACGAAGCTACATACCCCATAAATCTCTACAGCCAGTTACATCTACTTTAGATTACACATTAAGATTCGATGCGAGTCAGGATGACAAGCAATAGGAGGAAAGGATACCTGCGTACGACTCCGACGCTGAACTTCCGCTTCTGTCGAAAACAATCGGAGAGATACCTCTAGCTCTCTTCCTCTCCTTCTTTTTCTCATCTGAAAAAAAGCCGTAACAAATAAAACCAGTATTTTAAACATCAAGTGGTAGGCAAAAATCGAGACAAAATTACTCAGACAGGAAAATAACGTATGTAATGGTCCAGTCAGCATTCGGCTTGCATGTGAAAATTCTGGTCGCTGTCCCAAAACTATGACGCAAAAAAGATGCAAATACTCATTACTCAAGCTCTTAATTCACAAAAGGAACACAAAGGCCACTAATTAGTAATTCTGTGCAAAATTTAGAGACAGGATTAATCTCCTAAGTGTTTCAGTAAGAGTGATTTAGCTCTTCTCTTCGGCTTTCAGCCAAATTTGCAACACAAACGGTGTTGTGACAGTGATATGGGCTCATCTGCTCTGAGCTCAACAAAAAGGCAAGAGGTGGCACTGCAGAGCTTTTTAGAACAGTTATTACAGCGTCACTTGTCTTGACGTGACACCTTCCTGTTCGCTAACTCCCAACAGCAGAGCTGAGCCAAAACAGGGTATTATGTTAAGCAGGATGACCACCTACAGAGACTTCAGACAAGGAATATACACAACAGGAACTGTAACAGGATTGAAAGCGTCTTAAAATGAAAACCACAACCAAACAATGGCTCCCCCAAACCAAAAACCCCAGCCTAAACCAGAAGTATACTACAGTTTCTCCACCGCATGGCAATTATAATAGAGAGGTCACCTTTTTACAGCTTATTTGATCCAAGCCCTTGATGTTTGCTCATACCAAGACAACTAAGGGCAAGCAGTTCATCTTTACACTCTAAAGATGAGTTTGCAGGAACCTGAAATCCTCCAATCAATGTGCTATATATAACCATTAACAGTTCCTATCTGTATGTAAGGATCAGTTATAATATACAAATGCAAAACATTTTCTGCTAGTTTCTGCTTAAAACATTTCTCTCTCTGTTTGCCCTAACACGTAATCATTTCAACTTAGGTTTAGGTTTCCTGTGCTGATGGCAGCCACTGGTTAAGGTTCAACCACCTTTCCCTGGGCAGACGGTGCTGTTTACCTGATCACTCACCCAGACGAATACAGAAAAGCTGAACATGAGCTTAAAATTAATTGTGTGGGAAATGAAGCTATGAGATACCCTAGGAAATATTAACTCAAAGCACTGAACAGCAAGGCCAAAGCAATCAGGAACAATATAAATCTTCAGCATGGTAATCCTGATATCCAGGAGTTATGGAGTAAGGAAATCCCACTCTGCAGTCCAATTTTTCTTTGCCTGTATTCAAAAATTAGTATCTTACTGATTTGTGCTACACTGAGGCTTATTTTTGATATGGTCAGGAAGTGACTTTCGAAAGCAGCCAAATTTTCAACGGCAAGGTATTTCAGACCGAAGGATAGATGTTACCTACCTGATGCCTCTGAACCAGACCCAGATCTGACTGACCCATCTGTGAAAGAGGCAGATTCAGAATCCGAGTCGCTGGCTTCACTTCGTGTGTCGTAGTCGTTTCCTTCTTTCTGATCTCTCTCATCCTGTTCATACTCTTCTTCATCCTCCTCCCCATCTTCCTCCACCTCTTCGTCCTCCTCCCCTTCATCATCTTCCTCTTCTTCCATTCCTTCCTCCTCATTCTCTGTATTGCCTTGTTCAGAGGAGCCGCTGCTGCCAGTCTCGTGATCCGAACAATATTCCTCAGAGTTCACCTCTTCTTTAGAGGAATGGCTGGATCTGCTTGGTCTTCTATCCACCTCATGCCTGATTCTCTGATGTTTAAAGAAAAAGCGAATCAGCGGTCATATAACATTGTCAGGATGCATACACAGTCCTAAGAGAATGTGCTTTATAAAAGTCTCATGTATTTGTTTAATTTATAAGGCAGCAAGAATATTTAATACCTCTGAAGCATCTGGCGTAGAAGACTTGGCTCTTCTGTCAATATCCCTCTTCCTCAGGCAAGTTTTTTCGGGTTGTCCTTTATAAGGTTCCCTGGAGCTAATCGACATGCGAGTCTTTCGATCGCCCTCTGGACGCTTGGTTCTGTCAGACCTCGGATACTCCTCGTTCTTGTATTCCGATAGCGGCTTTCCCTTGGTACTCACTATTCTCTTGTTATTGCTCACCGATGAGCTGGGAGGCTTTGGCATCAACTGCCTCGATGAATGCACAGAAGGTTTCTGTCTCCTGCTTTCAGCGTTTTCCATCCTGTCAGTTTTTCTCTTCGATCCTTAAACAGAAAAGGGATATCAAGTTCAACGTGATTCTGTGCATCAAACCAAAAACTGAGCAGAGAATCCTACTTCCTCCACTTTTGGCAATTGCCCCCTTGCAGTCATATGTGGCATCTTGCAGTTTTAACCTTTAGGACAACCCTCAAACCAGCTGATTTTTAAAACATATCTATTACTTTAAAAGAGCAGCTAATCCTTGAGGCTTTGGTAAGTGTTTTCCAAATCTTACATATGGGAATGCTAAATTAAATGCTCATTGGATTGCTCTAAAGCCAAAACAACAACTGAGCTGGAACCATACTTTGGGATCCCCTTGTTCCA